TACTTTGTATCCCTTAAGGATTCTTGAATAGATATAGAATGAAAATAAAGTACCATAAAAATGAAATCAGAAAAGAATAGTGTAAGAGTGTAAGAAATAAAGGGTAAAGAATATGGTTACTTGTATTATTGCTGGAAAAAAATAAGTTAATTGTCATAAATAAAAGGAGCAAGGAGAATCCTTTGTAAAAGAATAAAAATCTGGAGATTGATAAGAAGTCCAGTTTTAAAGAATATAATTTATTTTAGGAGGATATAGCAAAAATAAAAATAACATTATTGAAAAAATAACCTAGAAATACTGGAATAGAAATCTATTTTAATCCTTTTAGATATAGTTAGGAGTCCTTCCTTGATGGTACAGATGGTTAAGTGCCCCACTACTAGCTGAAAAGTTGGCAGTTCAAACCTACTAAGAGGTGCCTTGGAAGATAGGCCTGGTGATCTGATTCTGAAAGGTCACACAGCCTTGAAAACCGTATGGAGCAGTTCCACTTTGCACAAATGGGATCACTATGAGTCAGAATTAACTCGGTGGCAACTAACAACAGACAGAGGAAATCAATATAATCACTCCTCTTGAAAAACAGTTTGGCACTTTATACTCCTTATCTTAGGGGTTTTATCTTAGTGATTAACGTCTCAGGAAGTAATCAGAAATGCAAGTGATAGTTGTATGCAAACAGATGTTCATTGTAGCCTGGTTTTTAAAAAATAATGGTTAAATAAGTTATAATGTGTGATGGATAGTTAAGCAATATTGAAGAGTGATATTTACCAAAATTTTAATGATCTGGGAACATGCTTACATATAGTGTTATGTGAGAAAGTCAGGATTAAAAATACACATGCAGTGTGACCTCAGTATATACAGTATAATATACAAACAGTGTTACACATACATGGTATGATTTGATACATAGAAAAAAAAGGCTGAAAGGAAATACATGGAAGTATTGACATAATTATCAGTGGTTGATCTTTTCCAAATTTTCAGCTATCAACATATATTATTTCATAATTTAAGAACTTTTTTCTTTTAAAATATTTTTATAGCAGTGACTAGTAGAGAAATTTAAAATATTTTATAAAAGTGTTTTGGGGACATGTAGGAAAAAATAAGGAAGAAAGGAGAAAAAGTTACGGGATGAATACTGGATTATATGACTCAAATTTACATTTTCAAGTTTCTGAAATTGGTGTGTATCTTGTAATAATATTTATATTTAATTTTATAGTATTTCATTTGTTCTATAAAGCTATTACTAAGTTTATGATGCCTCTTACAATCAATGGTACACTACAATCAAGTTGTAAAAAAAAAAAATCAGCAGCTCAGATGTAAATGAGCAGGCTGCAGCTTTGCTGTTAGAGAGACCACTGAGCTATTCTGACACCCATGTGTTTTTAAGGATAGGACTTCATTCCTTGAAGTAGAAATACTTACCATGAGAAGAATTTCAAGGATTTAAGATATTTATTAGAAGAGCTGATTATCCTAACTGTATTGTTATGTATAAGAAATTAAAAATAATTTTGACGGAAGCTTTGTAACATTATAAGCAGTGATTTTCTAGTTCACATATAGCCAGTTTTTACTGTTTGATTGTCTTCAAAAACAAATCTAACTTTCTTGCTTAATAATACTTGGGAAAATGTTAATTCTTACATGTGTACAGTCAACAAATATTTAATGAATCCAAGGTGAACAATTCAAAGCGCCTCTATCATTGTTGCAAACTCTGCAGTTAAATGATATTGAGTAAGTACTAGCATATAATAAAATTTGTATCTTATTTTATTTTTTTCAGTCAACCACAAGACATAAAGTACTTATTATGGAATTTTGTCCATGTGGGAGTCTATATACTGTTTTAGAAGAGCCATCTAATGCCTATGGGCTGCCAGAGTCTGAATTTTTAATTGTTTTGCGAGATGTGGGTATGTTGGTTTATTTATATGGTTTTATATACGTATAAATATAATGACATAAGAATTAAAAAAAAAAATTGTCACATTCATTCAGAACCAAAGATTTTTAGACAGTGCTTTCTTGGATGTGACATTAAAAACACAAGTACCCCTCCCCTCCAAAAAAAAATTAGATAAATTCGACTTTGTCTACATTAAAACTTTCATGCTTCAAAAGACACCATCAAGAAAATAAAAGTCAGCCCACAGAATAGTAGAAGGTATTTGTAAATCATATATTTGATAAGGAGCTTGCATCTAGAACATATAAAGTACTCTTAGAGCTCAACAATAACATAACAACCTAGTTAAAAACTGGGCAGTGGTTTTGAATGGTGCTAATAGGTATGGGTTTCTTTTTGGAATGATTAAAATGTTCTGAAATTAAGTAATTGTGATGGTTGCACAACTCTAAATGTATTAACAACCACTGACTGAATTGTTTACTTTAAAAGGTAAGTTTTATGGTATGTGAATTATATTTCAACACAGCTGTTACTTAAAAAATAAAAGAATATGACAACCAAAAGGAGTATCTTTTTTGAAAAAAAATATATGAGGAAGGGGGAAAGCTCAGTGATAAAGAAATTTAAGTTTACTGGGAATTCTTGAACTTGACACCAATAGCAGAGTGGAGACTATTTGGGTGAGGACCATTTTATAATGGGAGAAAACAGAATTGATAGTTATGGAAGTATGCTACAGCCTATTTAATCAAATAGAAGTTATAAATAATTGATGTCTTTATAAGTATATAGACAGCTCTGAGTTTTAATAATCATCCATTGATACCCCTAAACTTACTCTCATATGTTGAATTTGGACTTTCATCCATCAGCTTTCAAACAAATGTTTCAAGCTATCACTTGGTGGCATTGCCTGTCAGTTATCTCTAACAGCTTAATTTCAGCATTGTAGCCACATTTGCCCCTTTAAAAAAAAAGAAAAAAGAAAAAGCCTTTTTGGAATAGTGCTATATATATTTGGAAGAGCACTGTGAGAAGTATATTTGTATGGAAATAAGTCTGACACTTTTCTCTCTACCTATTAACCTTTTTTTATTTGTTTTTTGGTATCAACTTTTTTACTGTTGTACATATTGAGTCCAGTTTACTTTTTGTGGAATTTTTTCTCAAGGTAAATAAATGTAAAACTGTGGCAAAAGATTAATAGTTTTCCAGGGAATCTGTATTATTCTCAGGCTTAGGCAGATTGTCCACATACATATAACCAAAAGTAATTGAGGAAGAGTCATGTATTTAAGACCATTTTATTACATTTTCCTGGAAGTATTTAGGAGAGATTGGACTTGTCTTTGTTGACAAGACATTGATCCTTATTGTACCAAAACACCTTATAATTGAAACCTGATATATAAAATATGTGTATCATCTATTGCTTCTTTGATTAAAATTTTAGACTTTGGACCAACTTATGGAAAAGCTTTATTAAGGGACTTGAGACTGAGTGAATTATATGAATGCATTTTGAGATAGGTGCAGACACACACATACTCATAGATACCTACACTATAATTTTCTTTGTTTTATATTTGTTGTTGAAGTGGGTGGAATGAATCATCTCCGAGAGAACGGCATAATCCACCGTGATATCAAGCCAGGAAATATCATGCGTGTTATAGGGGAAGATGGACAGTCTGTGTATAAACTCACAGATTTTGGTGCAGCTAGAGAATTAGAAGATGATGAGCAGTTTGTTTCTCTGTATGGCACAGAAGAATATTTGGTAAGCCATTCATGTTTAATAATTTTATTTAGAGATGCTGGATACGTTGCAAATATTAACTGGGTAATTGGCCAACCAATTCACTGTCCATAAAATGTCTTACAGAATTTTTATGATAAAAATTAAATTTTCTGCTTTAATGAAATCGTGTGTAATGAGGGAATTAGGTACTGATTTCTAAGAGTTCTATTTTTTTCTGTTAAAAATTCTTCAAAATTTTGTAGCACTCTAAAATCCCTTAATTTTATTAATATTATGAATTTATATTGAAGAAAAACTATCTCTGCACTCAAGGAGTATACTAGCTAGTAAAGATTTCTTTTTTTCAATCGCAGCAGTTAATGTATTGTAAGCTTGTTATGATACTATTTCCTATAGAGCAAAATTCATGATAATTCTGAAACAGAAGATTCTGTTCAGGGAGGATTTGATTATTGCAAGACCAAAAAGACCATTGTTAGAAACACACACAAAACATGAAATGCCTCTGAGAAAATCTAACTTGAAATGCTAGGAAGCTCTGTGGTTGCAGAGTTTCCAGGTTTACATCAGTGTGTTTGTGTAAAGTTAGGAAATGTTTGAAACACCTAAGAAAATATCATACTTAAAAGTAAATACATTTTACCTCAACAACAAAAAAGACAAATAACCCAATTAAAAAATGGGCAAAGGCAAAGATTAGACAGCCCCATAAAACAAAACGAGACTAATGGGGCACAACAGTCCAGGGACAAGGACTAGAAGGCAGAAGGGGACAAGAAAGCTGGTAATAGGGAACTCAAGGTTGAGAAGGGTCAGTGTTGACATGTCATGGGGTTGTTAACCATTGTCATAAAACAGTATGTGTACTAACTGTTTAATGAGAAACTATTCTGTAAACCTTCATCTAAAGTACAATTTAAAAAAAAAAATCTAAAGAAATACATACGTATATATTTTAACTCAACATAAAAAAAAAATTAAAAAATGGGCAAAGGATATGAACAGGCACTTCACCAAAGAAGACATTCGGGCAGCTAACAGACCCATGAGGAAATGCTCACAATCGTTAGCCATTAGAGAAATACAAATCAAAACTACGATGAAATACCATCTCACCCAAACAAGGCTGGCTTTAATCAAAGAAACACAAAATAATAAATGTTGGAGAGGTTGTGGAGAGACTGGAACACTTGTACACTGTTGGTGGGAATGTAAAATGGTACAACCACTTTGGAAGTCAACTTGGTGCTTCCTTAAAAAGCTAGAAATAGAAGTACCATATGATCTAGCAGTCCCACTCCTTGGAATATATCGTAGAGAAATAAGAGCTGTCACACAAATAGATATATGCTGCAGCACTATTCACGATAGCAAAAAGATAGAAACAACCTAGGTGCCCATTATCAGACGAGTGGATAAACAAATTCTGGTATAGTCACACAATGGAATACTACGCAGCGATGAAGAAAGATGAATCTGTGAAACGTAACAGAGGAATCTGGTAGGCATTATGCTTAGTGAATTTAGTCAGTCACAAAAGGACATATATTGTATAAGACCACTATTATAAGAACTCAAGAAAAGGTTTAAACACAGAGGAAAATATTATCTAATGGTTATGAGGGTGGGGAAGGAGGGAGAGGGGTATTTGCTAAGTAGATAATAGACAAGAATTATCTTAGGTGAAGGGAAGGACAACACACACTACAGGGGAAGTCAACACAACTAGACTAAACCAAAAGCTAAGAAGTTTCCTGAATACAGCCAAACACTTCGAGGGACAGAGTAGCAGGGGTGGGGTCTGGGGACCATGATTTCAGGGAGCATCTAGGTCAGTTGGCATAGCAAAGTTTATTAAGAAAATGTTCTGCATCTCACTTTGGTGAGTGGCATATGGAGTCTTAAAAGTTAGCAAGTGGCCATCTACGTTGCATCAGTTGGTCCCAGCCCACCTGGAGCAAAGGAGAATGAAGAACACCAGAGACACAAGGAAAATATTAACCCAAGAGACAGAAAGGGCCACATAAACCAGAGACTGCATCAGCCTGAGACTGGAAGAATTAGATGGTGCCTGGCTACCACCAGTGACCACCCTAACAGGGAACACAACAGAGTCCCTGACGGAGCAGGAGCAAAGTAGGGTGCAGAATTTAAATTCTAGTAAAAAGACCAGACTTAATGGTTTGACTGAGACTGGAGGAACCCCAGAAGACACGGCCCATGGACTCTCTTGGCCCAGAGCTAAAACCATTCCGGAGGCCAGCTCCTCAGACAAAGATGAGACTGGACTATGGGACATAAAGTGATACTCATGAGGAGTGTGCTTCTTAGCTCAAGTAGATACATGAGACTAAATGGCCAGCCCCTGTCCAGAGGTGAGATGAGAAGGCAGAGAGGGTCAGGAGCTGGTTGAATGGACACAGGAAATCTGGAGTGGAAAGGAGGAGTGTCCTGTCTCCCAGTATTGGGAGAGCAACTAGGGTCACATAGCAATGTGTGTATAATTTTTTGTATGAGAAAGTGACTTGAATTGTAAACTTTCACTTAAAGCACAATTTAAGAAAAAAAAAAAAGTAAATACATTTACCATGATCAGGAAGTTTATGATATATAGCTATTTGTTAATTGCTCATGGCTCTGGGTTTCTTTTTTTTTTTTAAATCATAGATTCTGTGACTTTTTATTTTCATTTGGATTCTGCTGTTGTAATCTTATAATACAAAGGATGAATTCTAGCTGCCTTTATAGTTTCATGCAGATTATTCCAAGTCTGGCATGAATTAAAATGTTTTAGAGTGTTTTCCTAACGGTATGTAATCCAAAATTTGTAATTATGTTTGATGGTCTTTTAGACAAGAATACATAGAAAATGCCATTGAAAACACTATGTTAAAAAAAAAAAAAACAGAGAAAATGGATTTCATTCATTCAACAAGTATTTCAGAGTGCTTATTATGTAACAGGCACTGTTCTAGGCACTGGGAGGGCAGTGGTGAACAAGACACACATGAGTCCTGCTCTTATAGAGCCCACATTTTAGTGAGAAAAGTAGACAATTAACAAGTAAATAAAGTAAATTCAGATAATTTATTTGTTGCAAAGACAATAGATTAATATAAAAAGTGATTTGCAGGAGAAAGATAGTCAGGGAGAGCCTCCCTTAAGACCTAAATGAGCTGACACTTAAATGATAAAAAGAAGTGAGCCATGTAGAGATTTGGGGGAATAGTATTACAAGCAGAAGGAACAAGTGCAATGACAAGAATGACCTTGGGACAGTTCTGCTCTGTCACACGGAGTCGCTGTGAGTCGAAATCGCCTTGATGACACCCAACAACAACAACATTGTACACCATGGCAAGCCCATGTGTGCAGAACGGAACTGCTCCTTAGGGTTTTCAAGGCTGTGGCCTTTCGTATGCCTCTTACTTAGTCTTTCTATTCAATAGGATATTAACAGAACTGCTGCCATGATAAAGAGAATCCAAATTCAGTGTGTAAAAAAAAAAAAGAATGACCTTGGGAGAAACAGAAAGCATGGCAGTTAGACTGGAGTTTAGTGAGTGAAGGGATGAGTGGTAGGAGCTGAAATTAGAGAGTTAAGCAGGGGCCGACCAGATCATATAGGATAGTGATTTCAACTCTCAGACCAATCCCCTCTCTCTATAATAAATATTTTGTAGTATTCCCTTTAGTATCTCGAAATAAAATTCTTAGATAATATAACCAACCCGCACAATTAGAAGGATAGCGTAATATCTTAATAATAATGAGAAGTATCTTATAATCAAATGATAGGTGTTTAATGTGTAAAAGCTCAGGCACAACTCCAGCAAAGGAAGTAAAGCAGTTCAGATGCTTGCACCGCTGAATGCAAACACAGTGTTATTTCCAGGAGCACCAGCTTATCCCTTTCTATTTCATTTTCTTCCAGAAATTAGAGCTTTGTTTTTTGCTCACATTTGAGGTTAGCTATCATTTGCCACCACTCACTTAGAGTCAAATGCCTGTGTTGTCATAAATACAGTTTACATGTATGTTGTATTAGCAAATCACGTATTAGAGTGGGGTTGTTTTCATTGACATGATTTGCCAAAGCAGTGAACAGTTCTTAGCAGAATTTCTAACTAAACAAAGTACAGTATTCCCTTAATTTACATATAGTTGCATTCTTGGGAAAAAACTGTGCAAAAATACCCCCTCTCTGGTCTCTGCCCGCTAAATACCAGTAGCCCTTCCCAGTTACTGTGGTTACTAAAGTCCTACACGAGCCTTCCCGAGGCCAGTCCCACAACACCAACGATTACTCTTCCACATATCCTTCTACGACCACAGTTCGGCTGTTAGCTCTAACAGGCTTTTAAATTGGGAGCACCAAAGCATTAAATAAATTAACTCCAAATCCATGCTGTACTCTAGGCTGAGGTTTTATTCTGATCTATTTCCCGTCTCAGATTATGCCCAGCCTTGTTTTCAAATTAGATGAACAATAGTCTGAAGCCCAACAATCTAGAAATATTCCATATTTGAATGAAAACCTCTCTCATTTTGAAGCTCCCAAGAACTAATTACCAGATGTTAAATCCTCTCTGCTTTGTGTGTCCATAGTCTAAAGTCCAGCATTCTTTCCCCCACAATCATTAATATAATGAATATCTTTTCAGTAATATAATCCTGAGAACCTCAGAGCAGCTGTCTCCTTTTGCTCCTGCTCCGGATGCTCCAGTGACCCAGGCCTGTAATACCAAGCCCTACACAAGTCCAAGTAGCACATGAGAACTGATACTCACTGACATGTCAGACAGACCAGCATGTGTCAAGCCCCTACCAGTCAGTTACTCCCTGGGTAATAGCTTCCAGCTATACCACTTAAGCAATACATTATTGTCCTTGTTTGAGGAGATCACCCCTTTGTCTCTTCCCAGGTTGGTGACCTCATGTTCCAGAAGATGCCAGACATGTCTAGGTACTCTGGGCCTATTCATGGCACCATTTATACACTAAGTACCAGCTGCTAGGTCAAAGATCTGGCTAGCACTTCTTTCCAAAATAGTTACTTTACATGCTATGCACCAGAGGTACCAAAACCACTCAGACACTATATATGTGGTAGGTATATGTTTGGACACCCACCTCAAACCCCAGATCTTGCCTTGCACATCTCAACGTCTGATTTCTAATTAAAATGTATTTCTCAAAAGAGTCCTCCTTCCCCCACCTTTACTACCCCCCCCCCCAAAAAAAAAATTCAGGGATTGTGATACTTTGGGAGTCAGGTTCCTAGACCATATCATTTAGAAGAACCCTCCCACCAGTATTACCTGCATTGGTTCCCAGTCCCCTGGGCTACAGCCAGATTCCACAATGTCATAAGAGATTGTTTTCGTTTGGGATGATTTGGAGTCTACTGTGGTCCAGAGTACCCTCTTGTAGCTTTATCTTCCAAGAATCTTAAAGTTGCCACTGCATAGTTCCTTTATGGGCAGATGTCAGGAGGCTAAGCATGTGTGATTACTGGTTGTTCCCTGCAGAGTTAAATGTCCATCAGAATCACTGGATCCTTCAAGCTCCTAAGACATGCTCTATAGCATTTACCTGTTATCAGCAGTTAGTACAGTGTCTCTTGTGCTTAAAGACATGGTTAACATTAGACAAGTTACTTTTCTGGTGCCTATATCCCCAGTGAACCCAGTCAGATTAGTCCTCTGAGTTGATTCTAGAGAATTTAATGTGACTTGCTTGGATGGATTGCATGGAGGGATGAGGGAACAAAATCAAGGTTTTAGGTATACGTGACTGAATAGATGGTGGTGCTGTTTACTTAGAGGACAGAGATCAGGGGGAAATGACTGGGAAGACCAGGAGTCTATTTTTGGACACATTAAGTTCAAGCTGCCTATTAGGCATTCAAGAAAATCGTAGGTATATAAATCTGGAGCTCAGAGCAGGAGATAGTTTTGGAAGTTAAAGTATGTAAATGATATTTAATGTCATGGGCCTGAATGGTAGATGAGGAAACCAAGACAGTGTTAAATGTGGACAGCTATTTTGAGAAGTTTTGCTGTGCTGGAAAGCAGAGAATTGGAAGATAGCTGGAGGACGTTGTGGGATCGAGTTGTTAGGTACCATCAAGTTGATTCCGATTCATAACGACTCTGTACAACAGAACAAAACACTGCCTAGTCTTGTCCCATCCTCACATTTGTTGCTATGTTTGAGCCCGTTGTTACAGCCACCGTGTCAGTCTGTCTTGTTGAGGGTCGTCTTCTTTTTCACTGACCCTGTACTTTACCAAGCATAGTGTCCTTCTCCAGTGACTGGTCCCTTCTGATAACATGTCCAAAGTATGTGAGACGAAGTCTTGCCATCCTCGCTTCTAAGGAACATTCTGGCTGTACATCTTCGAAGACAGAATTGTTCATTATTCTGGCAGTCCATGGTATATTCAATATTCTTCACCAAGTTAGAGTTTTAAAAATGGAAAATATTAAAGCATGCTTACAAGCTGATAGGAAATGATCCAATGGAGAGGGGGAAATTGATGCATAAAATAAAAGGAGTAATTGCAGGAATTGATTCATGGAATTAATGAGACTGTATAATGGACTCCATAGCTCAAATGGAAAAGCTGGCCTTTGATAGGAACAGTTCTGTTGTAACTAGAAAGTAGGCCTGGAGTATGAATACAGATGCAGGTAGGTTGGTATTTGGTAAAGGGCATAAGGGAGAGTTGATCTCAGATTGCTTCCATTTCCTGGTTGAAGTATGAAGTGAGGTCAGAATTGGGGCTCAGAGGAAATGGTGTTGAAGGATTAAGGAGAGAGACACAGATGGGAAATAGTCTTTTCAGAATGGGAAAGTGAAATTATTAGGAAAATCATGATAAAATTTCTAGGCATCATTGAGTAGTCAGTGTAATGTATTACAAGAGGTCACAACTTAATAGTTTTTTTTAATCCTTTTTTTTTCTTTTTTCTTTTTAGCATCCTGATATGTATGAAAGAGCAGTGTTAAGAAAAGATCACCAAAAGAAATACGGAGCAACAGTTGATCTTTGGAGCATTGGGGTAACATTTTACCATGCAGCTACTGGATCACTGCCATTTAGACCATTTGAAGGGCCTCGTAGAAATAAGGAAGTGATGTAAGTCCTTTCTCCATCTAAAATTAGAAATAAGTTTTAAAATGTATCTTTATCTTTTTTCATCATACATCAGAGGTGTGTGCTAATGAAAGTTGAGTTTGTGATTATTTCTGATACTTTGAGCTTTTTAATATGAATGCAGCCTTATGAAAGAGTATAAGCATAATTTTCCGTATTGTATTTAAATGTCTTATATACAAAGTATAAATAGCATCTAGTATTTTACTGACTATACTTTCTTGTTTTGTTTTGTTTTTTTTATGTGTTTCTCATCCTACAATCTTTGATCCATTATTAAAAAATATATGGCTTTCTGGATTTTATTTCATCACACTGCTTATTTCACTTTGTGTATTTGTCGGAATTTTTCCTCCATAGAACTGAAAAAATAACACAGCTCTCTGAAGTACTAGAACCACCACCATATCTAAAAGAAATACAGTTCTTCCTGAACTGATCTGATTTCTTTTACCATTCACAAAAAAAGAAAAAACTCTTGGCAGCAATGTAATATTAAACTTTTTTTTCTAGTATTGCAGATTCAGGCCAGAGACTAAATGCATTTCACTAGTACAGTATAAATTTATGTACTGCCATAGTAATTAGGATAATTACTGCGTATAAAATCACTTATTGTAAACCAAATAATGAAGGAAAAGAGGGATGGATTTTTAGATGGGAAATTTTTTATAAAATACATCCATTGACCATATTTCTTTTTATTTTAAAAGTAATTAGTAAATGGTCTGACTTCATGAGATACAGCCAAACCACATAAGCGTAAACTGTGAGGTTATGAACGTTGTTTAGTGAATGGTTTGGGACAGTAACTCACTGACGGTCTGACCTGCCCGACCGTTCTTTTCGGTTTGTCAGTTCTCTCAGACCTTTATATACTTGACTCTGCCCTTTAGAAGCAAATGTGACTTAAAGTAATAAACACAACTGTAAAATCACAATTTTACTTACTCTCATCTCAGAAAATTGAGGGAGAAGTATATTTTTTCTTTTTGCTGGTTTGAGGAAGTAAAAAATTCAGATGGTATAATGACTGTTGCCAAAACCTGGGTTTCTAAATATTTTACAGCAAGGACAATGAACGTATTCATAGGAAGAAGGCATCAATTAACTGTACCAGTGATGTTGGTATAACATCATCTTGAGCCTGCTTTATACCTGTGCCCTTTTCATAACATCTCTTCATTAACCAAAATGGAGAGTCAATTTGTGCTTTTCTCAATAAAAATAAATTGTACCTAACAGTTAATCGGAGTCCCTGGGTGGCAGAAACGGCTAAGCACTCAACTACTAGCTGAAAGGTTGGTGGTTCGAACCCACCTAGAGGCTCCTTGGAAGACAGGCCTGGTGATCTGCATCTGAAAGGTCACAGCCTTGAAAACCCTATGGAGCAGTTATACTTTGCACACATGGGGTTGCCATGAGTCAAAATCTACTCAGTGGCAACTAACATCAACAACAAAACAGTTAATCATACTTTTATCTGTATAGGTGTGTTTTAAAGCAGTATCCGTGCTGTTTGTAGTCCTAAAATAAGAGTGTGATGCTCCTTAATAAAGGAGATACGACTCATAAACAACTAGGATCACCTGATGATTTTGTTCATCCACCATGTGGACAGAGTCAACTTTTTGTGAACATTGATGCTAATGAATACTCGGAGGTGCTTGAAGTAGTTAGTAATAATGATTATTTTACTTTACTAATAAATTATGCATTTATCTCACATTATAGCAATATGAATCCTTCAGCTTCTCATTGGCATGTTACGAATGTGTTTATATGTGGATCTTGTCAAAATTAGTTAAGACTTTTTCAAGAATTTTCTTTTAAATTTTTTTTTGTTGTACTTTAGGTGAAGGTTTACAGAACAAATAGTTTCTCATTAAACAGTCAGTACACATATTGTTTTATGACATTGGTTAACAATCCCATGACATGTCAACGCTCTCCCTTCTCGACCTTGGAGGACCTTCTTTGTTTTGGTGAAAATATACATAGCCAAAGATACACCATTTCAAAAATTTCTGCTTGTACAATTCAGTGACATTGATTACGTTCTTCCAGTTGTGCTGCTGTTCTCACTGTCCTTTTCCAAATTATTCCATCACCATTGTCTTCAATTCACTGTCCCCTAGGCCTCCCATCAGACCTTTCGAGTTGCTGTTGTCAGTTTGATCTCACGTAGATAATTCTTTTTTTTTTGTACTTTAGATGAAGGTTTATAGAACAAACTAGTTTCTCATTAAACAGTTAGTACACATATCGCCCTCTGACAATGATTAACAACCCCACAACATATCAGCACTGTCTTTTCTCCACCTTGGGTTCCCTATCACCAGCTTTCCTGTCTCCTCCTGCCTTCTAGTCCTTGTCCCTGGATTGCTGTGCCTCATTAGTCCCGTTTTGTTTTATGGGGCTGTCCAATCCCCAGCTGAACGGTGAATGACTTCATCACTGAGCTAAAAGGGTGTCCGGGAGCCATACTCTCAGGGTTTCTCCAGAAAGTTTTTCAAGAATTTTTAAGCATTCCCTTAAGAATTCTGCCAAATTGTATTCTATTCACTTCTTTTCTTGCATTAGTCTCACCTATTTCTCCACAGTCAGATCCTTTTCATGTGAATGCAACTTTTTTTTTCTTGTGGTGGAATATATAACAAAAATCTGCCATTTCAACCATTTTTATGTGTACAGTTCACTGACATTAATCACATTCACCATGTTGTACAACGATCACCACTGACGCAACTTATTTTTCACTTTATTTTTCTCCTCTGAAAAACTCTTAAGTCAGAAATCCTGGCTGCCTCTTCTGAGGAAGCAGCAAACAGGTCCAAATCAGTTATACTGGTTTGTTCTACTTTTAAAAAAATAGATCAGTGTGCTCAGAACACATTTATTTAGACAGTATATACAGATACTCTCTCAGAAATAGCATTTATAAGCATAGGTGAGATTCTCCTGTATTCTACATTCTTGAAGTGTTCTTGAAGGTGTGAAGTTCTTATTTCTCTTCTACTTTTAAGTCTTGTTTAGGAAAGTGCTAAAGCCTAAAAGAACTACTGTCATTGAATTGCTACATCTTTATAGTGCTCTTTTGCTTTCCCACCCACCTCTACCTTCATTTCATCTTTATTTTCATCACCTTCATCACGAATCAAATTAAATTTGGCTCATAATTTTGGCGTATGCATTTATTTCTATATTTGTATGTATTTTTTTAATATGCAAAGAAAATCTTCCTGCTGCTGTGCTGTGTATCTTTTAAAAAATACTAGTGTTCTTTCTGCAGTAGTTTCATAGTCCAGTTGACTGTACCTTTGGATGATATGGGTAAGAGGGATTAGATGCTTTTTTTTTCATGGTCAAGAGACATTCTGTGATTTAACTTTTTTGTGTTTGCTCAATCTTTTCAGATGGAAAAATTAATATTTTTGTTGTGAACATCAAGATGCTGTTATATGGCACTCTGAGAGCTGAGAGCCCAAATGAAAATTAATTATGGCATATATAAAATATTCGTACAGCCACTGTTCTACTTCAGTCAGTCAAATTCAAAGTATTTTGATTGTTTTATGGATCACGTGAACATCAGTCACAAAGTTTCGTCTAGTAGATAATTGTAGGTTCAATTGAGGAAATATTTTGCAAAGCCCATTAATAGACCATGCAGTAATTAACTGCTTATTTTATTCTACTATTATTCCTCCAAAGGTATAAAATAATTACTGGAAAGCCTTCTGGTGCAATATCTGGAGTACAGAAAGCGGAAAATGGACCAATTGACTGGAGTGGAGACATGCCTGTCTCTTGTAGTCTTTCTAGGTAAGTGCAGGGTAGCTAATTCTCTTTTGCATTTTGATGTTTAAAATCTTCACTGACTAAAATCACAAATACTCAAATACTTAAGTGTAGAGTTTTTGAGTTTTTTTTTTTTTAATAGATGTTATTAAAGCATATGCTGTAGTGATTTTTGCCTTTATGGTGATGTAAAGGTTTATTCTGATCTATATAAATAATTTCACCAGATCTCTCTTATGACAAAGGGCATACATTTTTGAGATTGCTAGTCTTTGGTTTTAGAATTTCTGCCTAATGTGGAGATCTAGCTCAGGACCTTGGTATCTTTTATACGGACCTCTAAATTGACCACAGACAGTAATATAAATATGAGTAAATTTCTCAACTAGAGCTCTGAAAAACAAAAACTCAAAAAGTTTAATATTATCTTCATTTTTTAAAAATGTTCAAATTATTCAAAAGGTAAGAACAGTAGTTTTCTAGTACTTTTTCTAGCGCTTCAAATGTTCATATGGATCTTTGTTAATTTAGCAGGCAGAGCTGGAATAAATTATATCAGATAAAAATCTTGTTGTCATTAAGAAAGAATTAAGGTAAAATAAATTAAAAATAGAGTTAACCTTCATCTAAAGTACAATAAAAAAAATTTTTTTAAAAGTTAAGAGTAAATTATTTTAGATTTCCCTCTGGAAAAAAGCTAAGATACTCTTCGACATTCAGAATTTGTGGTTCCTGAATTAACTTCCATTTTTCCTGAGTATGGTAGTTAGCAATCCTAAGTGTACACACACACACACCTATGATAAGTTGTGAGTGCTTTTTGTATGACTGTCAACATCTAAATAAATATCTAAAACAAGCTAAGTAAATATCACTTATTGTATATATTAGGCTTTATGAATGTTTGTTTAAACCAAGAGTTCAACTGCTAAAATAATTTGAAAACCACTGTTCTTACAATATAGTTTTTTGTTGTTGTTCTGAAAAAGAAAGTTTCCAAAATGAAATTATATCATACAATGAGAATTACCAATGGAAATTTATTGTGTTGGAGAGCAGAAATTTAACATTATAATAGTTATTTGTGCTAAATTTTGATTTAGGAAATACTCATCTTTGAGATCTTGATCAAAATTGATAAAATTTAAAGATCTAGGGGAAATTAACCCTTACTGTTTCAGAATTATATTGCTGCAAATCAAAATGAGTAATTTTACAATCTAAACTACCAAGTGCCTATTTCTGGAAGGTAACAAGCCTTCTCTCTCTAATCAGTCTTATCACACCAGGTTATCAATAATTTGATAAAAATTGCTTAGGTACCAGAAAGTATAATATGTGACAATTTTTTTTTTTTTAAGATAGTAAGGAGTTTAAGTACTACAAATCAACAGTGATAACAGCTACGAAAAATGTTACAGCTACAAAAAGATAACCATCCTCTTTCTTATATTTATTAGTCAACACAAGGTAGAAAATCTCATTCATCTGTTTTAAGTGAAAAAGGAAATAGATTGACTTTATAATTAGAAGTTCATAGCTCACCTGACTCCTAGGACTCAGACTGTGTCATCAAGACTTGGTCTGTTTTTATTGTTCACATCTGCTTTTCTCTGAATTCTCTTCACACTCGGTCAGACTCTTTCCTGGCAGCCACAGGATGGTTGCTGCCATTCCTAGACTCAGGTTCTCACAGCTTTGAAAGTCCAGTGGGAAGAAAGATTTTCTTTCCCAGTAATTTTAGCAAAGATTTCTGGGTTGATTCTCATTGGACTAACTTATACTGCCACCCACCACCTCAAATTAATCATAATAACCATGGGCTCTCATGCCCATTTTTGCATAGGAAATGGAGTTAGAGAGTGGAAAGGTGTGGATTTTCTTACCAACAGGAGATTGAATGGGTACCTGTTAGGCAAAGCTAAAAAATGCCCACTACATACTTCAATAAGTTTAGTAACTGTTAACAGACAAGGAATTATTTCCAATGTCTGTCACATAGTCAATATTTCATTTCCATAATTGGGAGTTATTTGAGCATGCTTTGTAATCTGGTGAAAGCATGAGAAAGAATAAAGGTCTTCCATTCATTTTTAACAAAATACACAAGCTTATTAGTCAAAAATCATTCCTTGTTGAATTGGCACCAGTTGATTCAAGATTACTATTTTAATTTTACTTCCTAAAGTAATACACTAAAAAAAGGCATATAAATTCAGCATATAAAATCAGATATTGGAGAGCCATATTAAAAGGACATTAAGTCCCACTTTATGCTGGATATCAAACCATGATTTCTTACCTTATGATCACATGATTCTTATCACCTGATTTCACCCAATAGTCACGTATGTACAGTAGTATAATGTGTATGAAAAGTAAAGAAATTCAGGAAGGAGGAGATCAAAGAAAATAATCAGTAAAAGATAACGTAAAAATGCTATAACCCCTGATTGATTGGAAAGTAATGTTAGATAAAGGTTACCTGGCTTTTTGAAAGTTGGCAGATCTTTAAAATTTTGAATGATCTAATTTAATAATAGTAATAGCAGTTCTTTTGATTTGTCAGTGAGTATTTTGATTTTGTACCTAAACAAAATATACTACGTTCACTCTTCAGTAACTTTTTTCAATACTGTTTTAGGGGTCTGCAAGTTCTACTTACCCCTGTTCTTGCAAACATCCTTGAGGCAGATCAGGAAAAATGTTGGGGTTTTGATCAGTTTTTTGCAGAAACTAGTGATATACTTCACCGAATGATAATTCATGTTTTTTCACTACAACAAATGACAGCTCATAAGATTTATATTCACAGCTATAATACGTAAGTACCTTTTGTATTTTCTGCTTATATCAAAATGTTGTGTTATATAATAAATACCTTGATAAATTAGGAGAGGAAATGGAAAAGACATACCTCAGCTTTACCACAGGCAGCCTTTTCCCACTTAGGAAATAATGTTTTTGTGCTTGGTATATTTCTTTTCACTTATCTTTGAAGTAAAAGGATTAATGTTCTGATTTTTAAAAATTTACAGTTAAATTAACTTGTTCTTAAACTGTAAGTTTTATAATAATACTTTAGTTTCTGTTCCTTATCTCAAATTATATAATCACATAACCACAAATAGCATCTAGTAATAAATGGACTGGTTTTATTAAGAGTACTATTGTGTCATTTTAAAAATATTAAAGCATAAATCTTAGAGTTAGTATAGTTTTTACGTGTATATATGACATAAAGCACTTGGTGGGTGCTAGATGTATATGGAATCGTTTTACATAAAAGCATATTACACTACAAATCTACCCATAGAACTAAACACACACACATGTTTTTATGTAAAATTGGGAAAGTCTGATTAAGATAGATGGGTTGTATCAGTGTCAGCGTGCTGGTAGTGGTATTGTACCATAGTTACGCAAGATGTTCCCATTGGGAGAAACTGGGTAAAGGGTACATGGTATTTCTCTGTATTATTTCTTAAAGCTGCATATGAATCTACCAATGGTCTCAAAATGTTAAAGAAAAAGAAAAAAAATTACACCCATTCTGTATGCCATAATTTCTGTTTTGACAAGATTCGAATAGCAGTTCTGATGCCTCATAAAACTCATTAAAAGGGGCTTTTGCTGGTACTATATTAGGGAATAAAATCAATTAGATAAAATCATATAAGATATATTCTTCCGTAAACACTCATCGTAGTTAGGTGTTGGTCACTGTTCTCTTTTTAAAAGCATACTTGAGCATAAAAAGCCTGCCTAAACCTGATCCGAATCACAACGGAGGCTTGTGGCAGACCAGGCTTTTTGTTAGATGTCATTGCTGCCCAAACATTTCTTTGATTTCATAGATATATTCAGGGAAATCTACCTTTTCCCCTAGAGTATCATTTTGAAAATTCCTGGTCGTCTTATTTAACAAACGTTATATATTAATGTTTCAAGTACTGGTCTCTGTTCTTCACATATTTGTTACCAGATCCTCACAACAATTTTGTGAGGTAGGTACTATTATTACTCCCTCTCTGCTAAGATGAGGCAACTTAGCACAGAGAGGTTAAGGAATTTAAGGTAATAGAGCAAGCATAAGTGGAAGAGCTGGGATTTAAACCCAGGTAGTCTGACTCCAAGGTTGGTGCTCTTAGCCTCTTTGCTATGTTGACTCCCCGTTATTTAATATTAAGAATACTTTATATTGCACAGGTATCCAAACATAAAAAATATTTTAGAATTGATTGCTCTGTAGACAGGTTATGTAGACTATTCGGTTTAATACACTTTACAGTGTACGGTTAACAAAGCAGTATATATATGGACTGAACACGATCTTGGAAATACACTTCAAAATAAGTATTGTAGCACTCATCATTAAAAAAAAAGGGAAGAGGCTTTTAACCTCTCATTTTATCCCCAATTATGTTGTCCCTTTGGATTTTTCCCACATAGTGCTACTGTATTTCATGAACTGGTATATAAACAAACCAAAATTATTTCTTCAAATCAAGAACTTATCTATGAAGGACGACGCTTAGTTCTAGAGCCTGGAAGACTGGCACAACATTTCCCTAAAACAACGGAGGAAAATCCTATCTTTGTAGTAAGCCTGGAACCTCTGAGCACCATAGGATTAATGTTTGAAAAAAGTAAGTTGGGATTTTTCTCGCTGTTGGTCCTACTAGCCAGTAAAAAATAACCCTGTGATTATAAAAAGTTTGTGATCTTCATAAAGTTGATTGATGATAACATTAATGTAGAACTTTCATAAGTATTAAAATTTTGTAAACTAGTCGAAAGAGAGTGGTAATAAAATTGAAAAGCCTCATAGCCACATAATTTGGCTTCAGATATTTTGTTTCATAAAATGGCAGTTTGTCATTGTGTGTTTTACTGTAGCGCTCTGCTTTTCGTGCTTTGCTAACAATCAGGATAATATTTTTTATCTTCATGAATTTCAGCAAGTATTTGTTGTGTGCCAGCCTTTAGAGTCTGTGAACAATCAGATCTGCATTTTTAGAATCTTTTAAATTAATAATTCTACTGGGAAAAAAAGAAATTCCCCAGATTTTTACATTTCTATTGGGGTCATTAGGATTTTATTTAAAGAGAAGTGTTGAGCTCTTGTTGGAATTTATTTAAGAAAAATGTTAACTCCCTACAGATATTGGAGGTAATTTGTTAAGGAGTGAGCACTACTGTTTCTAGTGGTTTTTTTAATCAGAAAAGTACATTAATGAGTTTTTTCCCACTAGTATTTAACTTAGAAATCCTATTTGCTATATAAAGGATAAAGGTAATTTATTAAAAATTCTTTATTTCTCATTTTAGGTATTTAATTTCATATTTCATATTTTATTCCACATTTCAGTTTCTCTTCCTAAAGTGCATCCACGTTATGATTTAGATGGGGATGCTAGCATGGCTAAGGTTAGTATTTAATTGAATTACTTCGTGAAAATCTGAACTAAAGTTATCCTATCAATAGTGGAAGCAGGATAAAGTATCTTGTCTTCATATATGCCTATATGATACAGGAAATTATTCATTTCAGTTATCTTTTCTCTTAGTTATTTCATGTTTTTCTTTACTTTTTAGCCTTTCTTGAACTTGTTACATAAGAATTCTATTGAGACAATGTATGTTTAGTTAATGTTAAGGATAAAATATTTATTGCACCTCTGTCTGCCCTTAGCTTTTAGAAATTGGTACTTTATTATGTTTTTAATTAACCTGATAGAAATGCATAAACTTGAATTTTTTGCATAGAAGTTTTTCTTACACCTGTACCACAGTTAGCCCCAAATATTGACATTTCATATTTCTTCACTAGGCAGTTACAGGAGTTGTGTGTTATGCCTGTAGAATCACCAGTACTCTACTGCTTTACCAGGAATTAACGCGAAAGGGAGTACGATGGTTGATGTAAGTAATAGATTGATAATCGATCTTCACGTAAAACCAAACCCATTGCCACCAAGTCGATTTCCACTTACAGTGACCCTATAAGACAGAGTAGAACTACCCGTTAGGGTTTCCAAAGCTGTAAATCTTTACGGAAGCAAACTGCCACATCTTTCTCTCATGGGGCAACTGATAGATTTGAACCGCAGACCTTTTGGATAGCAACAAGCGCTAAACCACTGTGCCACCAGTGCTCCTCTCATAGAACTGCCGCATATGGTTTCCAAGGCTGTAATCTTTATGGAAACAGACTGCCGCATCTTTCTCCCGCGCAGTGGCTGCTGGGTTCCAACCGCCGCCCTTTCTGTTAGCAGCCAAGCACTTTAACTACTGTGCCACCAGGGATCCTTTGATTTTCACATAGACCTCACTGAATAACTGATAATCACCCCATCTCTGACACTTTACCTCTTCAGACTAGGGTCAGATGTTTGATTTTTATTAGTAAACATTTGTTTCACATTTAGTTTGCAAAACATTTTAGCAGCTATTTTTTCATTTTGATTCCCTCAGTAACCTTGTGAAACAGGACAAATAGAGTCTGAATTTAAAAACTTAGACTACACTGTATAGTGTGGTGGCAGATAAGTTCCTTTTCCAAGGACCTCAATGTGGTTGGCATTTCTCTGTCTTAGAAGGCGTTTTTCATTGTTGTTATCCAGTACAATCTCTACTTCTTTCTAGGGTTTAAGTTCTCAGAATTCTCCTGTTTTCTATCCATTTTTCCCATCTTTTCCTCAAATGAAGTACACACTCATTTTTTTCAACGTTATCGAGATATAATTTATAATTCACCCATTTAAAGTGTACAGTACAAGAAAAATGGTTTTTAGTATGTTCACAGAGTTGTGCATCATCACCACTATCTAATTTTTAAAAATTTTCATCACCCTAAAAAGAAATCTTGTACTTGTTAGCAGTCACTCATTTGCTCCCAACCCCCTACCTCCTCCACCCCTGCTCAGCCTTAGGCAGCCATTAATCTAGTTTCTGCCTCTAGATTTGCATATTCTAGACATCCCATATAGATAGGATCATACACTTACTGAATCCTACACATACTCATAATTGAATATGAGTACTCACCTTAACAAGCAATTTAAAAGGCAATTTTTCACTAAATCACTTAATGTAGTTATTCTAGGTCACAGTATTGATTATCTAGTTAAGTATTCGCTCTCTGAAAGTGACTGTAAGAAATACTTTGTGGATGATTATGAGTTTGACCTTTTTTCTTCCTTTCATGATTTATAGACATTATCTTTCCATTTGATAAAAGTGGAGAATAAATGAGTCTCTTGAGAGTCATGTCTCCAGTCCCACACAACATCACTTGAAGGTTTTGAATTTTGTACACACATAGTAATGGCCTTGTGGCTAAGAGGTGCTAACACGTGTGTTCCCTGAGCTCATCTCACTGGTCATAGCGCCCTTGGACTTTAAGGCTTGTGACGGAGAATGTGTACCCACCTCACACCCATCCCTTCTTGCAGAAGCATACTAGAAGCATTTCATCATTCTTGCTCTTCTGCTGCTGCTTCTAGAAAGCGAAAAAAATAAGGCTTTTTTTTTTTTGTCTGTTGCATTTATGTGAAACCCATAAATTTGTTCTTATAGTATTTTTCTGTGGGGTCGCATACTAGTTTGTAAGCATGTGGTTTTCTATTTCCATTAAGAAACTTACTTATTTTTAGCAAACAGTTCCTGGAAAAAGAAAAGTATTAGCTCTATTTTCATAGTATCATTACCAACAGGTTTCATTTTCTCTTGCTCTTGTTATGTACTCCAGTCTGATCTATGAAATTTTTATTCTTTTTACTGATTAATAAGTCATGAGAAAAGTCTTTCATGTAGACCGGGGTCGGTAATGTTTTAGACTTTGTGAGTATTCTTGTTTGTTTTGTTTTTACAACCTTAAAAATGTAAATACCAATCTTAGCTTGTGGGCCATTCAAAAACAGTCCTCAGCCCTGTTTGTTGACCCAACGCAGACCAAAAACCCTTCAACTATATATTATATAATATGCCATCCTGCTTCTCTAGAGACCACATTCCAAAAAAAACCAAACCCATTGTTGTTGAGTCAATTCCGACTCATAGCAATCCGATAGGACAGAGTAGAACTGCCCCATAGGGTTTCTGAGGAGCGTCTGGTGGATTCGAACTGCCAACCTTTTGGTTAGTGGCCGGATGCTTAACCACTGCGCCATCAGGGCTCGTTAGAGATCACATTAGTTGGTTTAAAATATACATCTGACAGCAATTTACTCTGAGTAGTGAAGATTAATTCTGGTAGTACGAAATGTAATGCTATACAACTTAATTGCATGGTTGTAGATTTTTTCCTTACTATATTTTTAATGCCTTCGATTTCTAAACTGGGAACCTAATAAATAGTAATGGTTTATGGAAATATAAGTGCCCCAGATATGTATAAGGGTCACAAATATTTTTAATAACAGTATCCCAAAAAGTGTGAATTGCCTTTCATAATATATCAAGAAAGTTATTATGAAATGTATTTGTACAGTAGTATAGCAGTGTACTTAGTGATAGAAAAAGGAAAAATAAATAATTCCTTAGGTGAACTAATGGGAATAATATTATTTTTTAGTGAATTAATTAAAGATGACTATAATGAAGCTGTTCACAAAAAGACAGAAGTTGTGATCACATTGGAATTCTGCATCAGAAACATTGAAAAAACTGTAAAAATGTGAGTAGATTACTTCTTTACTTACAGTGATAAAAATATTAACTATTGTTCCATTTCTGTTTAATTTATTTAGTTATCCTTAGCATAATATAGCTTGCTATTCAAGTGTTTGTCCTAAATTATAAAATCAGTTATTTATAATATTTAGAATGAGGAGCAGCCTTAGCTTAGTAGTAGTTGCTTCATCACAAAGGCAAAAATAACATTTCTCGGTAAGAAATGAACACCGTCTCTTTGGTGGCTTTTCCCCCCTCCATTTGAGAAGGAAAAGGTAATCTGCCATAGAAGGATCTTATGTTTACCTTCCAAAGCAGAAACTCTGAATAGGAAAATATAAAACCTGTAATCAACAAGGGAAGTAGGGAGAGGTATGCCAAAATTGCCTTTCGGTGATATTTTTAGAATTTTAGGAATCACTTTTAGTTTACTCTCATTTATTAATCTTATCCCTGAGGATGTCTTGAAATAGAGTGATATTTTAAATTTCCCTCCTCCTAGGCTATATTACTTAACACTACAGAGGAAATAGAATAAATGAAATCAGCATTTGCTATTGGCCTCCACCAATTAATGCTGAAATCTAATTTTTAACTATTATCTTGGCATATGACTCTCTGAAATTAATTTGCCTTTCCCATTTTATCCCTTAACCTGCAGATTTATGAGTAGAGGAGTATAAAATTCCTCCTTTAGAAAGACTTTGAGGTTTTTTGGAATCTACTGGCTTATAGACTTTGTATCAATTTTTTATTCCTAAATGGCTATGATAATAAAAATTCTAATTTATGAAATACCTTTTAAAATCTATATGTTCATTATACTCATTTAATTTTTTATTGACTTATTTTTCTTATTTGACTTATAATTGACTTATTTTTCATACAGATATGAAAAGTTGATGCAGATCAACTTAGAAGCAACAGAGTTAGGTGAAATTTCAGATATACACACCAAATTGTTGAGAGTAAGTATTTACAAAATTATGAAAATCTCATAAATTAATCCTTCGCTGGCAAGATTAGATCTAAGCTGTCCTAGAGAGATGACGTATCTAAAGCTATCCAGAGAAAAAGTAGCCTTTTCCCACCTTTAGGAGCTTCTTACGATACTTAGCCTTACAACCATAAAATTCTTATAACATTTCTAAATGCCTGTTGTACTTTAAACTCTTTCTATTTTCTTAAATCCATAATGCTCTTATGTTTCTGCTTAATTTAGTTAGTTATCCTTGGCATAATATAGCATGTTATGTGTTTGTATTAAATGTGGCAATTAAAGCAAGTTCAAAAGTGTAATTTAACCTGCAAAGTGCTTAAATTTGTTTAGAAATAGAAACAAGTCAGGGAATCATCAGATCTTTTCTTAAAAAATGTCAGAAAAGAAAGATTTGGGTTCCTCAAGGCAGTGAATCATTTTATAACTAAAAAAATGAATTCAGGACGTAAATCTTAACTCTGCTGAAAAATACAATAGCTTTTCAGGTAGTCTCAGAATCTATTGCTAAAATGTAATACACGGAATCAGGTATTATGAGAGCTGATTACTAATCCCAGATCTGCCCCTGCTTACCTAGCTAACCTTGGCTGGCTCCTTAAGTGAAGCTTTTAATCCTTTACATCCTTCTTTTTTTTATCTATAATGGGCAGTTTCTTACCCGGCTCATCTCACAGGTAGTCATATAAATTAAAGTGCTATACTTAGGCGAGCATTTAGTATTTGAAGTATTTTTTCATACACTAGTTGTTAAATTAAAGTGAAAAAGGCTTTATGATCCCTTTGTTCCTCTTTTCCAGTTTAGGCTGATTTTTAATTGTTTCTTTTCCTCAGAGTTAGATCTTCTAAAATAGTGTTTTTCTTACGAGTCATGAGCGACAAGCAGGTTTTTTTTTCCAGTTCATGGTGAAACTTTTTTTTTATTATTGTACTTTAGCTGAAGGTTTATAAAACAAACTAGCTTCTCATTAAGCAGTTAGTACACATATTGTTTTATGACACTGGTTAACAACCCCGTGACATGTGAACACTCTCCCTTCTCGACCTTAGATTCCCTGTTACCAGGTTTCCTGTCCCTTCCTGCCTTCTAATCCTTGCCCCTGGGCCGGTGTGCCCCTTTACTCTCATTTTGTTTTATGGCCTTGTCTAATCTTTGACTGAAGGGTGAGCCTCAGGAGTGACTTCATTACTGAGCTAAAAGGGTGTCCAGGGGCCATACTCTCAGGGTTTCTCCATCTCTGTCAGGCCAGTAAGTCTGGTCTTTTTTTGCAAGTTAGAATTTTGTTCTGTATTTTTCTCCGGCTCTATACAGGACCCTCTGTTGTGATCCCTGTCAGAGCAATCAGTGGAGGTATCTGGGCATCATCTAGTTGCACTGGACTCAGTCAGGTAGACACCATGGTAGTTGTAGTCCATTAGTCCTTTGGACTAATCTTTCCCTTGTATCTTTACTTTTCTTCATTCTCCCTTGCTCCCAAAGGGTCGAGACCAGTGGAGTATCTTTGATGGCCAGTCACAGGCTTTTAAGACCCCAGATGCTACTCACCAAAGTAGAATGTAGACCATTTTCTTTATAAACTATATTATGCCAATTGAGCTAGATGTTCCCCGAGACCATGGTCGCCACAGCCCTCAGCCCAGCAATTCCGTCCCTCTGGGGTTTTGGATGTGTCTCTGGAGCTTCCATGACCTTGCCTTGTACAAGCTGTGCTGGTTTCCCCAGTCTTGTTTACTGTCTTACCCTTCACCAAAGTTACCACTTATCTATTGTCTGTTTACTGTTTTTCCATCCCCACCACTCCCCTCCCTCGTAACCATCAAAGATTGTTTCTTTTTGTGTGTAAACCTTTTCATGAGTTTTTACACTAGTGGTCTCATGACATTTGTCCCTTTGTGATTGACTTATTTTGCTCAGCATAATGCCGTCCACATTCATCCATGTTATGAGATGTTTCGCAGGTTCATCATTCTTTATCGTTGCGTAGTACTCTATTGTGTGTATGTACCATAGTTTGTTTATCCATTCATCTTTTGATGGGCATGTAGGTTGTTTTCCGTCTTTTTGCTATTGTGAGCAGTGCTGCAATGAACATGGGTGTGCACATGTCTATTCGTGTGAAGACTCTTATTTCGCTAGGATATATTCGTAGGAGTGGGATTGCTGGATCATATGGTATTTCTATTTTTAGCTTTCTAAGGAAGCACCATATCGTTTTCCAAAATGGTTGTATCATTTTGCATTCCCACCAGCAGTGCATAAGAGTTCCAATCTCCCCGCAGCACAGCCTCTGCCACATTTGTTATTTCCAGTTTTTTTGATTCGTGCCAGTGATGGCGGTGTGAGATGGTATCTCACTGTGGTTTTGATTTGCATTTCTCTAATGGCTAGCGATTACAAGAATTTCCTCATGTATCTGTTAGCTGCCTTAATGTCTTTGGTGAAGTGTCTGTTCATTTCCTTTGCCCATTTTTTAATTGGATTATTTGTCTTTTTGTTGTAGAGGTGTTGGATTTTCCTGTAGATTTTAGATTAGACCTTTGTCAGATTTGTCATAGCCAAAAATTTTTTCCAATTCTGTAGATTCTCTTTTTACTCTTTCGGTGAAGTCTTTGGTGAGCATAAATGTTTAATTTTTAGGAGCTCCCAGTTACCTGGCTTATCTTCTGGAGTTTGTGTGTTGTTGGTTATGGTTTATATCCTGTTAATGCTGTGTATTAGGGCCTCTAGTGTTGATCCTATTTTGTCTTCTATAATAGTTTTTGGATTTATATTTAGGTCTTTGAACCATTTTGAATTAGTTTTTGTGTATGGTGTGAGGTATGGGTCCTGTTTCATTTTTTTGCAGATGGACATCCAGTTTTGGCAGCACCATTTGTTAAAAAGACTGTCTTTTCCCCATTTGATGGACTTTGGGTGCTTGTCGAAGATCAGGTGTCCATAGTTGTATGGATTTACATCTGGGTTCTCAATTCTGTTCCATTGCTCAATGTATCTGTCGTTGTACCAGTACCAGGCTGTTCTGACTATCATAGCTGTATAGTAAGTTCTGAGGTCAGGTAGTACGAGTCCTCCTACTTTATTCTTCTTCAGTAGTGTGTTACTTATCCGGGGCTTATTCCCTTTCCATATAAAGTTAATGGTTAGTTTTTCCATCTCTTTAAAGAATGTTGTTGGTATTTGGATGGGAATTGTATTGTATTTGTAAATTGCTTTGGGTAGAATTGTCATTTTCACAATGTTGAGTCTACCTATCCATGAGCATGGTGCGTTTTTCCATTTATGTAGATCCATTTGGGTTTCTTGCAGTAGTGTTTTATAGTTTTCTTTGTATAGGTCTTTTACATCCCTGGTTAGATTTATTCCTAAGTTTTTTTTTTTTTTTTTAGGGGCTATTATAAATGGTATTGTTTTCCTGATTTCCTTTTCATTATTCTCTTTATTTATTTGGTGTATAGGAATCCAACTGATTTATGTATGTTTATCTTCTATCCTGCTACTCTGCTTAGTCTTTCTGTTAGTTCGAGTAGTTTTGTCATGGAGTCTTTAGGATTTTCTATGTATAATATCATATCATCTGCAAATAGGGACAGTTTTGTTTCTTCCTTACCAATTGGATGCCTTTATTTCTTTTTCTTGCCTTATTGCTCTAGCTGGGACTTCCAGCACAATGATAAATAAGAGTGATGATAAAGGGCATTCTTGTCTTATTCCTGTTCTCAAGCGGGAATGTTCTCAGCCTCCCTCCATTAAGAATGATGTTGCTGTTGGTTTTGCATTGATGCCCTTTATTATGTTGAGAAATTTCCCTTCTATACCTATTTTATTGAGAATTTTTATCAGGAACGGGTGTTGGACTTTGTCGTATGCCTTTTCTGCATCGACTGAGATGATCATGTGATTGTTTTCTTTCCTTTTATTTATGTGATGGGTTACATTGATTGATTTTCTAACGTTGAACCATCCTTGCATACCTGCTATGAATCCTCCTTGGTCGTGTTGTATTATTTTTTTAATATGATGCTGAATTCTGTTGGCTAGAAGTTTGTTGAGAATTTTTGCATCTATATTCATGAGCAATATTAGTCTGTACTTTTCTTTTTTTGTGATGTCTTTTCCTGGTTTTGGTATCAGGGTTATGCTGGCTTCATAAAATGATATCGGAAGTATCACTTCCTTTTCTATGTTCCAAAATATTTTGAGTAGTACTGGTGTAAGCTCTTCTCTGCAAATTTGGTAGAATTCTCCAGTGAAGTCATATGGGCCAGAGCTTTTTTTTGTTGGTTTTTTTTTTTTTTTTTTTTAAATTACCTTTTCAGTCTCTTCTCTTGTTATGGGTCTGGTCAGATTTTCAACATCATTTTGTGTTAGTTTGGGTAGGTAGCATGTTTCTAGAAATTTGTCCATTTCTTCTAGGTTTTCAGTTTTTTTTTGGAGTATACTTTTCATAATACTCTGTTCTGATCCTTTTTATTTCAGTTGGGTCTGTTGTAATGTCCTCCATTTCATTTCTTGTTTGGGTTATTTGTGTCCTCTCCTATTTTTCTTTTGTCAGTTTGTCCAGTGGTTTGTCAATTTTGTTGATCCTTTTAAAGAACCAACTTTTGGTTTTGTTGATTCTTTATGTTGTTTTTTTATTCTCTATTTCATTTATTTCTGCTCTGATCTTTATTATTTCCTTTCTTCTGGTGGCTGTGAGCTTTTTTTGCTGTTTTCTATTTGTTGAAATTGTGTAGCTAATATTTTGATTTTGTCCCTAACCTCTTTTTTGATGCGTGCCTTTATTTCTATAAACTGACCTCTGAGGACTGCCTTTACTGTGTCCCAACGGTTTTAGTATGATGTGTTTTCATTCTAGTTTGATTCTAGGAATTTTTTTATTCCATCTCTGATTTCTTCTGTTACCCAGTGGTTTTTAAGCAGGGCGTTATTCAGTTTCCATGTAATTGATTTTTTTTTTCCTTTCTCTTCCT